CCTGGCGAGCTCCGCGGTGGCGGCGACGAGCGGGAGGGGAGCGTCTTCCCCACTCCCTGCCCGCGCGCCCTCCCAGCGCAGCCCGGGCGGATGGCGGTGCTGCGAGCAGGACTCCGCAGCCGGCTGCGGGGACGAGCCGCGCAGCCCCACGCAGGGCAGACGGAGCCGATGCGCTGCGGCAGGTCAGGGAGGGAGCAGGAAGCAAGTTTCAGGCAGAAAACTCCTGTAAGGAACGGGAAAGGGACATGCATGCGCGTGCATATGCATGTATATCCGGAGCCACACTCACTCACAGATCATTCCGTAGCTTTGGAGAGGCAGGTAGTTTGGGTCTGCATAGGACGTTTCTGTTTTCACAGTCCCCCAAATCACCCCTCGGAAATGCAACGGGCATCGTAACGTTTACTCTCAATCAAGCCACCAGGGTGCGAGCTGCCCTGAGAATAAAAGATTGTGCGGAAAGGTGCTCTGAAAAGGGAAGGAAGTCCTTCCAGCGTCAGAAGACTGTGAGCCCTCTCCTCGGGGGCTGACCCAGTGGGGTGCTGTGACCCCTCTCACCCCGCCTCACCAGGCTTGTGCTGGGGAGAAGACAGGGCGGCCTGAATGAACACAGGGGTGCCTATGTCTTTGCGAATAAATGCCTTGGAGTTTTTCAGGAAGATACCCAGAAGAGGGATGGCTGGGTCCTATGGTAACTCTATTTTTAGTTTTTTCAGGAGCCTCCATGCCATTTTCCATAGTGGCTGTGCCCGTTGACATTCCCACCAGCAGTGAATGAGGGTATTTTTTGCTCCACACCCTCTCCAACACTTATTACTGGTCTGGTTGATAAAAGTCACTCTAACAGGTGTGAGGTGGTGTCTCACTGTAGCTTTGATTTGCATTTCCCTAATAGATGGCGAGGTTGAACATCTTTTCCTATGTCCCTCGGCCTTTTGTATGTCTTCTTGGGAGAGGTGTCTGTTTAGGTCCTCTGCCCATTTTTTAAGTGGATTGTTTGTTTGGTGTTGAGCTGTATGGGTTCCTTATATATTTTGGATATTAAACCCTTGTTGGAGTTTGCAAATATCATCTCCCATTTGGTTGGCTGCTTTTTTGTTTTGTTTTGGTTTCTTTTGCTGTGCAGAAGCTTTTTAGTTTGATGTAGTCCCATTCATTTAGTTTTGCCTTTATTTCCCTTGCTTTTGGGGTCAAATTCATAAAATGTTCTGTAAGACCAAGGTCCCTAAGTTTAGTACCTATGTTTTTCCTCTATGTACTTTATTGTTTCGGATCTTATATTTAGGTCTTTAATCATTTTGAATTAATCATTGTACAAGGGGACAAACTGTAATCTAGTTTCATTCTTCTCTCTGCCTGTGGCTTTCCAGTTCTCCCAGCACCATTTACCGAAGAGGCTTTCTGTTCTCCATTGTGTGGTTTTGGCTCCTTTGTCAGCATCACTCACAGTGGCCAAGACATGGAGACAACCAAGACGTCCTTGGGTAGAGGACTAGATAAAGATGATGTAGTACATAAATCCTAAGGAAGATATACTCAGCCACAGAAAAAGATGAAATGCTGCCGTTTTCAACAACGTGGATGGACCTTGAGGATATTATGCTAAGTGAAAGAAGTCAGTCAGAAAAAGCTAAGAACCATATGATTTCACTCATATGTGGGATATAAAACTGAAACTCAAAGACACAATGACAGGAGGATGGTAGTTACCAGAGGGAAGGGGGTGGGGGGGAGGTAGAGGGTAAAGGGGGACAAATACATGGTGACAGAAGATGATTTGACTGTGGATGGCGGGCGCACAATGCGATATACAGATCATGTATCAGAGTAATGTACACTTGAAACTTATATGACCCTATTAACCAATGTCAGCCCAATAATTTTAATTAATAAAAAAAAAAGGTGGCATCCTTTCCCTCTTTGGCCTTAGCCCTGGAATTAATTGCAAAGTTTAGGCTAATGCTCTCAGTCCGCTCCCCAGTTTTCTCCTCTCTGTCCCCCACAAATGCTCCATTTGCACCCTCGTTGACATTGAGAACCTCTCATGATGACAGAAACTGCCAAAAGAAAACAGGTAATTTATTTTTTTTTTTAGCCAGGCAATTCAAAAACACTTTTAAGAAAAAATATGTATGTACTGCATTCCAATTAAAATAACTATTGTAACTGCCCAATAAAGGCTTGACTTTTTTATATTATTACAATAGCTTATATCCTTAGTATTGATTAAGAAGCACATAGATGTATTTCTCATTTTAAATGTCTTAGATATTTTTTCAAGCATTTTTAAAGTGTTTATAAAGTGTCTAGCATGTAAGGTGAAAATGCCAATTCCTTGCAAACTTTGAATGAAAAATTACTGAAACTGAGATAATGCAATGTAAACCTTGCAGGAATTGTTTAATTAATTTGTAATTATCTTTTTGGTAAGAACTTTTGAAATTAAAAAATTATGGGTAGTGACAATAGATATAACACATTCACCTTTTCTTTTTTATTAAGACAGGGTGGCCCGGCCGGGCATGGCTGAGCAGTTGAGCATCAACTTAGGATCCAGGTGATCGGGGTTTGATTCCCAGTCAGGGCACATGCCCGGGTTGTGGGCTGCAGCCGATCAGTGACTCTCTCATCACTGATGTTTCTATCTCTCTCTCTCCCTCTCCTTTCCTCTCTCTGAAATCAATAAAGATATAGTTTTAAAAAAAAAAAAAAAGGACAGGGTGTGTTTAATAAAGTCATGTTTATTAAACTTAGAGCTGGAAAATGTTTCATGAAGCTGAGAGTAAGTAGTTATTACTCATGTACAGGCATTAGATCTATTCCATACAAAGAATACAATGTATTTGCAAATAGTAAAATTTCAAAAATTTATTTATTTTGACAAAAAAATAAATGAAGCGATAGTGTGGCTCAGTCTACTCAGTCTATAACCACTATTTCTTCATAAATACTAGTGGCAAAGAGCACTGAAAATCTAAGTGTAAGTATTCTTATATGGACTTGAAAAATGAAGTCACTTGCTGTGAATAATTGTTCTGAGGATGTGATGAGTTCTTCATTAAGCAAATATAATTCCCAAGGATGCTTAATTATTTTTAAGAATCAGGTACAGGCTTCTAAAACAAAAAGACTGACTTATATAATCAAAATGGATACAATCAAGCCCTGGCCGGTGTTGCTCAGTGGTTAGAGCATTGGCCTGCACACCTAAGGACCATGGCTGGTCCCCAGGCAAGGGCATGTATCTGGGATGGGCAGGTTTGATCCCCAGTCTGGGTGCATGTGGGAGGTGATGTTTCTCTCTCCCCCTCCCTCCCTCCTTTCCACTCTCTCTAAAAATAAAAATAAAAAATAAAATAAATGGAAAAATCTTTTCAGGTGAGCATTAACAATAACAACAACAACAACAAATTGATACAATTAAAATATATCTTCCTATTGTAGTATTTTTAATTCAAATCATTTGTTCACTATCCTCACATTTTTGTTCATTTGACTATTTATTATCCTATATGCATCCAAGTTTTCCCCTAAGAAACAATCCTTTTTTGTGGTGTTTCAAAGACTGTAGTAATTTTTCTAAATTTCTTTAATTTTTTTTAATTTTTGAGGTCTTTCTTCTTTAGAAATGGGTGATACCAATTCTGTTAATATTTTGAATCAGTTATGGTTGTTCTTTGCTTTCTTTTTTGCCATCCACCTTAAAATATCAAGGCAAAAAATTGGCACATTTACTACTCTCAGCCAATTTTTAGAATAGTTTTTAAAATTAAAAAAAAAGAACAACTACCCTCTCTTCCTTGCCAGACGGTGATTGATGTCTACCAGTGTGATGTCCTCATCTTCCACTACTCCCCGTCATTGCTGCCCACATTTAGGTGTGGCTTACACTCAACCTGAATAACAAAAACGTGTATTTTTATTTGCAGAGTTGCTATACACACAAAGAGAAGTATTAACTTCTCTTCTTACTAAAGGAGATACTTTCTTTTCACGTCCCAAAGTTAAAAAGTCT